CCCGGCTGGAGGAGACGGTGTTAAACCCAGCAAGGCCGGACACCAGCAGAGCCCACTCCCTCCCGGTGCCATGCCCGAGGGGGGATCCGAACCGGTGCCCCGAAGGCACTGGCAGCAGGTCCTCCGTGAGGGGCCCTCGGCCCGGCACTTGCCAGCCTCACGGAGGAGTTCCCAGACACGCTCCAGGGCCATTGGGGCAGGGGAGGGACCGGCCGGGGGGGATGGGGTGGGAGTGAGCTGTGCTGGTCTGAGTCGTTAGCGTCACTGGTAATTACTGTGCTGGGGGGATCTGGGGGTTGGGGCGGGCGCACCTCAAATCACCAAACACAACAGGCTTCAAGTCCCCCTTTCACGCCCCCCAAGACACAGAAACCCGGAGGCCAGGAGCCTTCCTGGGAAGCGGCTGCCGAGCGAAGGAGGCTGGGGAAGGGGCTGCAGGCTCCCCCTGCCCTGGGTAGCCCCCCCAGCATCCCAGGCTGCCAGTGACGAGCAGGTGGGGATTAGACACAGCTGGGGCCACACCACAGCGCGCTGGGCACGGCCGGGCTTCTTATGTGCTGAGCGAGCCGGGCACGGGGAACGGGAATCCAGAACTGCAGCGGTTCTAGCCCTGGGGGCTTTACCCCCCAAATGGAAGAGGAGAGAGGACAGCAGGGTTAGGGCACATGAAACTGAGGGGGGCTATTAGCTAGAGCTAGGCATGACAGGCACGGGCAAGCTTCCCTCCCCCAGCTCTGCTAGTGCCCCTCACTCCCGACCCGCAGCCCCCTGCGACCCCAGCCCTGGGCCCCCCACCCCCACAGCTCTGCTAGTGCCCCTCACTCCCGACCCGCAGCCCCCTGCGACCCCAGCACTGGGCCCCCACCCCCACAGCTCTGCTAGTGCCCCTCACTCCCGACCCGCAGCCCCCTGGGATCCCAGCACGTCCCCACCCCCACAGCCTGCAGGCCCTCAATCCCAACCGCAGCCCCTGGGATCCCAGCACTGGGTCCCCACCCCCACAGCTCTGCTAGTGCCCCTCACTCCCGACCCAGCCCCTGGGACCCCAGCCCTGGCCCCCCACCCCCACAGCTCGCCAGTGCCCTCAATCCCACCCGCAGCCCCCTGGACCCCAGCACTGGGCCCCCACCCCCACAGCTCTGCTATGCCCCTCACTCCCGACCCCAGCCCCTGGGACCCCAGCCCTGGCCCCCCCCCCACAGCTCTGCTAGTGCCCCTCACTCCCGACCCGCAGCCCCCTGCGACCCCAGCACTGGGCCCCCACCCCCACAGCTCTGCTAGTGCCCCTCACTCCCGACCCGCAGCCCCCTGGGACCCCAGCCCTGGGCCCCCCACCCCCACAGCTCTGCCAGTGCCCCTCAATCCCGACCCGCAGCCCCCTGCGACCCCAGCACTGGGTTCCCCACCCCCACAGCTCTGCTAGGGCCCCTCAATCCCAACCCGCAGCCCCCTGGGATCCCAGCACTGGGTCCCCACCCCCACAGCTCTGCTAGTGCCCCTCACTCCCGACCCGCAGCCCCCTGGGACCCCAGCCCTGGGCCCCCCACCCCCACAGCTCTGCCAGTGCCCCTCAATCCCGACCCGCAGCCCCCTGCGACCCCAGCACTGGGTTCCCCACCCCCACAGCTCTGCTAGGGCCCCTCACTCCCGACCCGCAGCCCCCTGGGACCCCAGCCCTGGGCCCCCACCCCCACAGCTGCCATGCCCCTCAACCCGACCCGCAGCCCCTGCGACCCCAGCACTGGGCCCCACCCCCACAGCTCTGCTAGTGCCCCTCACTCCCGACCCGCAGCCCCTGGGACCCCAGCCCTGGGCCCCCACCCCACAGCTCTGCCAGGCCCTCAATCCCACCGCAGCCCCCTCACCCCAGCACTGTTCCCCACCCCCACAGCTCTGCTAGCCCCTCAATCCCAACCCGCAGCCCCTGGGATCCCAGCACTGGGTCCCCACCCCCACAGCTCTGCTAGTGCCCCTCACTCCCGACCGCAGCCCCTGGGACCCCAGCCCTGCCCCCACCCCCACAGCCTGAGTGCCCTCAATCCTGACGCAGCCCCTGCGACCCCAGCACTGGGTTCCCCACCCCCACAGCTCTGCTAGGGCCCCTCACTCCCGACCCACAGCCCCCTGGGACCCCAGCCCTGGGTTCCCCACCCCCACAGCTCTGCTAGGGCCCCTCAATCCCAACCCGCAGCCCCCTGGGATCCCAGCACTGGGTCCCCTCACCCCCACAGCTCTGCTAGGGCCCCTCAATCCCGACCCGCAGCCCCCTGCTACCCCAGCCCTGGGCTTCCCCCTACCCAAGCTCTGCTGGTGCCCCTCAGTCCTTGAAGTCCGTGGGAGTTGATGGCTCAGCATTACGCAGGGTCAGGCCCCCTGAGAGGAAAGGAGCCCCAGATCACTGCAGTGAGAGGTGGCAGAGGGTGGGCGGGGGCTGGCTGGCAGCCCCAGCGGCCATGGGCACAGCAATGACTCCACCCCCCGCAGCTGGCCCTGGCTGGCAGCCAGCCCCCATGTTCGGGTCGGGGGGTTTCCGCAGCGCCTTAGGAGGAGGCACCTGCTGGGTGAGCCCAGCAGAGGGGGGAGCGGGAGTGCAGGGCAGCTGCATCAGGAGAGGATCTGCAGGAGCCTTCCCTTGGCGGAGAAGGGGCAGACCTAGGCCCACAAAACCTCCCCCTTGCCCCAGCCTCCTCTGGCCCTGCTCCTGGAAGGGGGCAGAGCCCCAGGTTGGGAAACTGCTACCAGCCGGATGAGAGCCACGGTCCTCAGGGCACAGTACCCTCCGGCAGCGCAGGAGCGGAGCAAAGCGGATCGACAGAGATGCCTCTGTCGGCAGGCTGGGCCTGGGGAAAGGCCGCCCGGGAGCAGGGCTGCCCTGGAGCAGAGCCAGCTGCCCCCTGGGACTGGGGGTCTGGAGTGGTGAAGGTGCCAGGGAGGCAGTACTAGTAGGTGATACATTCGAGGACGGGCCAGCTGCAGAGTGTACGGAGGTAAATGGGTGGCCGAGACGAAGGCAGGCACCCACTGAGGCCAACACTCGCAGGCCACACACAGGTGCTGGGGATCTGCCGGGCGTCCTGCAGGAGGCGCTCTGGAGCTCAGAGGCATGGATGTATTTGGGTGCCAAGCTTGCGGCACGACACTGCCATTGCCAGGGACTGACAGGGCATCGGGGCAGGATCGCTGGGACCCCCAGGACAAATCCCAAGAGGCACAGCCCTTGGGGCCAGCGGTGGGACTTGGTCGGAGCAGGGCTGGGAGCTACAGGCTGTGGAGGAAGGGCATGCCCAGGGCAGGAGAGCTGAGCAGTAGCCATGCCAGGCCCTTGGGGGGTGGGAGAGGCAGCAAGGACAGCGCACGGGGAGGGAAGAGGGTCAGATGGGATGGGTGGGGGAGAGGTGCCCAGGGCCCAGAGTGGATTCAGCACAAATGCTGGGGCCAAGGGCTCCCTGGGCATGGGACGCAGCTTCTTGCGGGGCTGGAGAAGTGGGGGGGATAGGCAGGGGAGATGAGGGAGGGTGGGTGGGTATGAGAACAGCCTGGGGTGGCTGCACCTACTCAGGCAGAAGCTGCTCCTGACCCTGTTTCCACTGGCTGCAGGGTCCCTGTGCGGCCGGTCCTGGCCCACCCGCCAGCAGCTGCCTGGTCTCATCTGCTCAGTCTCATCCAGCTGCTGCCTTAGGGGCCCCGACCCGGCCCAGAAGCCTTGCTTCTGTGAGATAGAACACCAGCTAGCAGCATGAGAGGGGTCAGGTTAAGGACTACGCTGTAGGGGTGTGAAAATTAAATGATTGCTTTTTTATTTTATTTTTTATTAAAGTTTCAAGCTACGCAGGGCTGAGATGGGACAATATTTGCATCTGAGACTTCCAGGAAGACCTCTCTGTCCAGTGGGATTAATCAGTTAGTGCCACTTGACACAGTTAAGTGTCACATTGGTTAATCAGTAAGGGTACAGCTACATAGCAAAAAACAAACCAAGCCGCCACCCCAAACCCACAGCAGCAAGCCTCAACTGACTGGGTCTCTTGCTCCTGGGCTGAAAAGAGTGGGATAGCCCTTATGGCTCAGACGCTGAAACCCAATGGGAAGGGTGGCTCAGAGCCTGAGATCCAGCCCCAGCAGGAACGTCTACACTGCTGGTTTTAGCCCTGTAGCATGAGCTAAGTCAGCTGACCCAGTGCAACCCCGTACCCCAGAGCAACACCCTGGCACTCCCACATTTACCTTGGTGATATGCTTATGAGAGGTTTTGTACAAAGTAGGCCTCGTGGGGTATCAGTCTAAAAGTCTGCATCTGTTGAACACGAATAGCCTATTAGAGTTTATGTGTGCGTCACCAGACTATGTTGTGAAGTTAGAAACACCCCATACTAATCTTTCAGGTACAATAATGGAGAAGCTAGACACTGATAATGACCCCATTAAAGGGAACCCACACGCCCAGGGACCATGGAGGCTTCTCAGAGGGAGCACGTAGGCAATGGAGGATGCTGGACCGGGGGCAGCTCAGTGTGAAAGGAAGTCCAGATCGATGGGACAGAGGACTCAGTGGTACTTCAGTTCTAGGTTGTATCTCGGGGAACTTGTCACACCCAGGCTCAGATTCACTGTAGTTTTTGTTTTTCAGTGCAGATGTACCTGACGAGGAATTCCTCTCCGATTCAGCACTGATCCACTCTCCCTCGCTGATGCTATACTGCTGGGAGGTGCTGTCTTTTGGACAAGACGTTAAACCATTTGTGGTCTCTGAAGATCCTAAAGTATTTCTTGTGTGGGTACTTATCCATCCTCCCGCGGCCTAGTGAAATTTCAGCGCAGGTAACTATATCCTTCCTCCTCCCTTGCTGCTGCCGTTTCAACTGAGCTACCCAAACCCTATTGGATAGTGGTGTTGTGTGATGATGCAAAACAGCTTCTGCTTCCACGTAAGAGGTAGCTTATGTTGTCTTCTAAAAAGGAAGCTGAGGCTTAATTAGCTTAAAACAACACAGAGTCCGAGGGCATCTTAAAGACTAACAGATTTATTGGGGCATAAGCTTTCGTGGGTAAAAAACGCAGTTCTTCTGCTGCATGGGGTGAAAATTAGAGATGCAGGCACTATTATACTGACACATGAAGAGAAGGGAGTTACCTCCCCAATTAGCTGTTATTTGTAAAGCACTTTGAGGTACTCAGACACAAAGTACTATAGAAATGATAAAATAACAACCCTGCACCCGCTTAAGGAAGTTTTTCAGCTGCGGTGGTAAAGAGAAGAGGCCTGATGGCTTGTAAACAGAACATAAAAAGCAAGTCTCTCTTTTTGACTTTTCCCACTGTAGAATTCCAGTTGAAAGAGTTAAAGGCAGATACTCATAGATACAGGCTCTGGCTACACTGTTGCAGCGCTGTAAAGTGCCATTCTCACCCAGGGGTGTGAAAAAACAGGCCCCTGAGTGCAGCAAGTTACAGTGCTGTAACACACCTGTGTAAACAGTGTCCCCCAGGGAGGGGGAGTACCAGGAGCCCTCTCTCCCAGCACTGGTGCATGACCACACTCGCACTCCAACGCGCTGCCAGGGGAGCACTCCCAGGGCAGTGATTTGACCTTTGGAGCGTAGCCATGCCCACAGCAAAATCCTTCGGGGCACTAATTACATTGCCCAGAGGGAGAGACTGTCTTGGAGATGTGCTGAACTGTAACCTAAGCCTGAGTGAGAATGAGTCTGTAGTCTAGTGGTTAGGGAGTCTACCTGGGAGGCGAGAGACCTGGGTGTGACGCTGTGTAATAAGATGACCATTTATATCTTTGACATTCATAGAATATCAGGGTTGGAAAGGACCTCAGGAGGTCATCTAGTCCAACCCCCTGCTCAATTTTGCCTCAAATCTTCTACAAAGTAGGGCACGTAAGGTGTCAGTGGAAAAATTCTGATTTGCTAAGTCTGATGATCCTGTTTATACGCATGTATCATTTTTGTATCAGAAGTTATGAATATTGGCTATGCACTGGCAACATACATACATATTTCAGAGTAGCAGCCATGTTAGTCTGTATTCGCAAAAAGAAAAAAGGAGGACTTGGGGCACCTTAGAGACTAACAAATTTATTTGGAGCATAAGCTTTCGTGAGCTAAAGCTCATTTCATTGGCTGCATCGTATTCCTAGGTAACACCCACCAGGTAAAATAGAAATTAAGGCCAGACAGCTATCTATTGATGGCACATCAAGGACACTTAGTTCTCACAATGGGACATAGAAGAAACTCACTCCACCCAGATAGCTCTTCCTGTGGACACCTCAGCAAGAATATGGGCAATGGCTACCCCGAGAGTCATCAAGCTATGTAAGGACATGTGATATGCTCATGTAACCCTGGACTCCATCTTAGGCCAGTACCTTTCCCCAAGTAGAGACAGTACATTTCCAGGCATGTGGCAAAGGGTATAAAAGACCCTGGAGCTATCTCTATTTTGCCTCTTTCCTGCCCTGATTCTCTGGACTGGATTTACAACTAAAAGGAGAATTTGAACTATGGACTGAAGAGCTTCCAATCTTTTGGAAGTTACCACAGAGAGAGACTTTCCAAACCAGCAGTCTATTCCATCACTGCTGCAAACCTGATATAAGGACTTGTTAATGGTTAATAAATCATATACATACAAATAATTGCCAACTTTCTTCTTTTATGATTAAACTTTAGTTTTTAGTTACTCAAGAACTGGAATCAGCGTGATTATTGGGTAAAATCTGAGGTATATATTGACCAGGCTAAGTGGCTGATCTATTGAGATTAGAAGGACCCTATGTTTGATTAAATTGGTTTTCAGTAACCACTCATCTTAGAATCCAGTATCTGGGTGATGAGACAAGGGCTGGAGTGTCTGAGGACACTGCATTTTTGACTTCTTGTTGACCAGTGTGGCGAGACAGAAGAAGAAGTTTACTTTTGTTGCTGGTTTGGTATGCTCCACTAAGAGCCACCACCAGTTTGGGGTGAGCCTGCCCTATTTCACAGGGGTTTGTCTGGAATTTGGCACTGTCAGCTGTGACCCACTGAGGCACAGGGACACTGGGTCCAGTCCCCCACTCCAATGACTCATTTAGCCAGAGCAGTTTATCAAAATGCATATTCTCCACACCTGGCTGCCCCTCGACCCACCCTTAATTCGTGGGCTAACACTGTAGGTTCATCACTGAAGAACTGGTTCTTGAGAAGGTTTTTGAATAAGGGCATTTGAAAGCAGTGCAAGAGAATCCACAGAGTGGACAGATGCGCTCTACCTGTGAAATAGTAGCTGGAAGGTTTGCAAAAGAAAAGAACGAAGGTCTCCAGCGATGGTCTCCCCTCTGTTCTGCCAAGTTCATATGTCTGACACATTTCGCCAGAATCACTGGTGGCACCTGCAATTAACATATGAGCAGATTAACAGAGGCCAGACCTGACAACAAGCAGTGGGTTACAAGGCATTTCTAATGTTACAGATAGACCTATCAGTCTATCCATCCTATGTTCCTCATGGTGGTATGACTGCCTAGGTGTCAAAGAAAAACAGTGGATACAATATCTCATGGCTGAATTCATCTCACAATATGATGTAGAGAACATCCCATGAAGAGCTCATGCGGAGATTAGCGTGGTATAAACGATGGATAAAAATACAGAATGGGTTGATATCACACTCTTGTAAGGAAAAAATCAAGATCTCATCATTCACCTTTGGTCAAGGGCATCAATCAATGCAGAGGAAAAGATACTTCTTAAAAAGTTCATAACAACATTACCGAAGACATCATGGTGTAGCAGTCGGGTAGAGGACAGGGATTCTGCTGACTCAGGTTATATCCCTGACTCTGCCACTGACATCCTGTTTGAACAGAGTCAGTAAGGAGGAGTAACTATACTGATATTTGTAAAGTTACTATGTAAGAGCAGAATGCTATTAGTATCCTTACCAATGTGCCCTCTAATGTTTTACATCCATGTGCAGAATGAATTTTGTTATGTGCACCAATATGGAGGGGATGTGGGGCGGAGATGGGGCCGAGGGGTTTGGAATGCAGGAGAGGGCTCGGGGCTGGGGCAGAGGGTTGGGGTGCAGGGTGTGAGGGCTCCAGCTGGCGGTGTGGGCTCTGGCATGAAGCCAGAGATGAAGGGCTGGGGTGCAGGCTGCCCCAGGGCTGGGGTGGGGAGAGAGGCGCCTGTCCCCACCGCAGCCCCGCCTGCCCAAACTTGCTCCCCGCCCACCCCCTACCTCTGTCCTCTCCAGGCCCTTGTGGCTCTGCCCCTGTGCAGCCCTTGATAGCCTGCTGCATGGCCACGCAGCTTAGGGAAAGCTTAGCTTGTAGCCTATTTTCAAAGCTGCAAAAAGACATGTACACCGCAAGGTTTATAGGGTTTTGTACCTCTAGCTGCAGTTTAATTGTAACTACTATTGCCACTTTTTACCAGCACAAAGAGTGTGTGTCATTTAAATGATTGCGTCGGATACCAAAAGTTTTCAACTATAAAAAACAATATCCAACAGTGTGAGCACAAAAGTGTGTGCTACCTTCAATTTGGTTGGGAATGCACTCTGTCTTAAAGATGTCGATCAAATAATCAAGCAAAATTCCGTATATCACCACAGACCAAATGCATGCAAGCCAGTAAAAAACATTGGGGGTGTGGGGGGAGGAGGAGGAAGAAGAGAGAGAAAGAAATTGAGACTCTCTACAATTTTATTCCTGTTTGTCAACATTTCAAGGAAAAAAGGCTTTCCAAATTTCCAAATGTGAAAATTGACCATCTGTAGTAAGAACCTACTGCCGGTAATTTAGCTCCCTCTGCTGGTTTTACACCAGCAATGCTCTGTCCCTGAGCACATCCTGACATCAAAAGTCTGAATGCCCAATCAAGCAAGCTGTTAACAGAGCGACTTTGACAAAATGCAGCTTCATTAGGAAGAGCAGGTGATAGCACACAGCTGAGTTTTCAAAAAGAAAAAGATTTGGTAGGATAAGCTAGTTTAAACTAGTTTCAGAGTAGCAGCCGTGTTAGTCTGTATCTGCAAAAAGAAAAAGGAGGACTTGTGGCACCTTAGAGACAAATTTATTTGAGCATAAATTTGTTTTTGTCTCTAAGGTGCCACAAGTCCTCCTTTTTCTTTTTGCAGATACAGACTAACACGGCTGTTACTCTGAAACTAGTTTAGTCTCTAAGGTGCCACAAGAATTCCTTTTCTAGTTTAAAAGAACAGCAAATATTATAAACTTCTATACAGATATCGTTAAAGACATAAAAAGCAAACACCAGCGTTGTTGTGTGGCTTATTTATTTATTTTAAATAATCAGGTTTAGTGGAGGAGGTATGACAACATTCTTTTCAAATTACAATTGATTCCATTACTCCCATTTGTGTTAGTAAACCTGCATTTGAGGAAGGGTTAAAGTTTCTGGGTAAGATTTCCAGAAGCACTTGGTGTTTGCTTATCTCCCCTTCACTGAAGTCAATGGGAGAACTTCAGCAGGAGCAGAGTTAAGCCAATGCTGACTGCTTTTGAAAAATATCCCACTCTGCATGTGAGGTGCTGAGTCGCACACCTGGGCCATGTAAACCACTTGAATTCAAGTGGTAGGGCCTACACCCAACCCTCTGCCGCAGCCCTGAGCCTCCTCCCACATTCTGAACCCCTCAGCCCCACCCCCACCACACATCACCTCCATATTGGTTCACATAACAAAATTAATTCTGCACATGGATGGAAAAAGTTAGAGGGAACACTGGTCTTTCAAAGCTAAGGAATCCAAATATCAAGTTTCCATGATGGGAAGAGAAGGTTAAGTTTAAATACAAAATCCCACTAACTTGTAGTATTTTAAGATGTACTTATACAGTGTTTCCATCCAAGGATTTCCAAGCACTTGATAAAGAAAGCGAAGTATTGTCATCTCAGTTGTACAAATGGAACAATAAATGCATAAAGAGGTTAAGTGACATACCCACAGTCACAAAGCAAGTCAGTGGCAGGGTCGGGGATATAACCCAGCTTTCCTGACTCTCAATCCAATGCCTTATTCACTACACCACACTGCCTCTGTAATTATGTTTGCTATCCTGTAAGGGACATCTCAGGCCTCTAGATGCCATTTGGGACCAACTGTTGCAGGACTTTGCAACTCCAGATTATACATTTCCAGGAACAAGTAAAAACCTAAACAATTTCCTTGGAATAGTGCCCTCCACCTGGTAATGTTAAGAGTGTTCAGATACTGTCAGGGCACAGCAGTGAGCAAGCCCCTAGGGTGAGATTTTCAGAAGTGCTCCACACTGGCATAACTCTGACCACAGACTTCACTGGGAGCAATCTCCCACTGACTTCAATGGCAGCAGTGTCAGGCCAGCGCTGACAGCTTTTGAAAATCCCATTGCTAAAGGCCCTAGCAAGCACGAACAAGATCTCATTGGCTCGCAAAGGTATGGCAGGAAGCAGCGTAAGGAAATGGGGAGAGCTACAGAAAGGTCTAATACACAATTCCAGCCTCTTACATCTCTCCTGGGGTGTAGCTCTTCTCCATGATTTCTTTAGCTGTGTGGAGCATGCCATCAAACATGGTCCTGATGTCTGCGTGTAGATGTTGATACATCCGATGTTGCATTATCTTTGACTCGTTGCTTGTAATAAACTCTGACTGCCTTGAAAACGTGGAAAAAACCCCAGATATTAGATACCATTCAGCAGCCAAAGAGAACAGGAGACTGCAAATATGCCCGTGCCTCTCTCTTCTTTGTTTGGATAGACAATCTTGCCCCATCATCCCCGTTTGAGTTTTCCTTGGTACCAGTTGTCAGGCTGCCTCTAGTGTATCTGGGACCTCTGCTGCAATAATGCACTGGGAGTGCGGTGGTTAACCTGAGGCTATATGTGTGTGGACACCTCTGTCATCACCAGGGACGGAACCCAGGACCTACAGCTGCAAGAGCCCCTGTACTGCTTCAGTAAAAGGGGTTAACTCTATTAGCTGAGTAAGCCAGCTCAAATCCTCCAAGTGGACTAGCTACTAGAAGGAGACAACCATGCACATTTAGCCAGAGAGTTGCAGTGACAACTCCACTGAAGTAGGAAATCAATTCATCATCAAGAAATCCTTCTTACCTCAGTGACTTTGGAACAGCTCTGTCAGAAAAGCAACCAAATACACTAACCACTAACACAGCCTCAGTGAAGACTTCTCAAGGAAGACAGGGCAAATGCTCCTTCCACTCCTTGCAATCAGATACAACATGCTCAATGGATTAGGCCTTGAGGCAGACACTTTACCTAGTGCTGTAAACTGAGCTGCTTATTTTATTTTAACTGATGTTCAGATTCCCACCCACCTGAACTGGGAAGGGGACTGTAGTTAGGTGGTGGTTGTCTCTCCCTCTCTGCGTCGGAAGGAGGCCACACTGCCTCACTATGCCATCGGGATCTCAGCCTAGTATTGGGGGTAATTAGCAGTTAGACATTAGTATCCCCACTGCAGTTTTTAAAAAAGCCACCCAAAGCTATTTGTACACTGAGATGTTCCTGAGCAGAGATCTCGTGTGACTCCTGGCAAATTCCATGATTTGGACAAACTGAAAAGAACGTAATGGAAAGAAAAAAATACTGATCATCTTAACTAGAATGGCTCTAGTCTGTGCTACTAATTACCCCATCCTTGCCCACAAATTACCTACGGTTAACAAAAGGCCCCATCCCTGCCCATTGAAGATTAACCATAAGTATTCATGCTACCTGCTGCTGCATGTGGATTTGAGCAAGTCGCTGCAGTTTGGCAGCATGGTCAGGAGCAGCTGCAAAGCACACAGAACAAAAGAACAAAAACTGCTTAGTTTTTACATCCAGGAAATTTGCAGTTACCAAAGTAGAGACAACTGTGTAAAAGCATATTTAAAGTGTTTCTATTGGGATTAATTTAATAATACACTTCTTTAATACACTTCTTTGTCAGAGGAAGCACATTACAGCTCAGAATGCCCTGAAGAGAAATACTGCTGGCCACCATACCACCACTGGTTACTGCCACTTTACTGCAAAGTAAGTGAAATGCCAACATTTTAGTTGTTTGTGTACACGCTGATCAGAACCAACCTAAAACAACTTTCCAAAGTCACCCCTCTGCTGCTTCTGGGGCCGTGAGATATGGGTCCCAAGCTGAGGATTAGATGCCCAAGAGACTTGTATGAAGCATGCAGATGGATTACTGTATGTGAATATTACTGATAAGCAACTGCATGGAGACTAGAGAGACCTCACTGTGCAAGGGGCAGGGATACTCAGTGAACAGGAAGCTACCCCTTAGAATGGAGACTTTCTACTGAGTTTTTCCCTATAAGATTCTAAGGATTCTCTAAAGTGTGTATCTGTTGGCCTCCACTTTCCCTCATAGTTACACTGGCTCACTGGACCAGCATCTCAGGAATATTTAACAGTCCAGCAAGTATAACATGGCTCTGGGGTCACTGAAATTCATCCTTCCTGTACAGTGGGAGTATCGTAGCCAGGAGAATACATTCAAGCCCATAGAATATCAGGGTTGGAAGGGACCTCAGGAGGTTATCTAGTCCAACCCCTTGCTCAAAAGCAGGACCAATCCCCAATTAAATCATCCCAGCCAGGCCTTTGTCAAGCCTGACCTTAAAAACTTCTAAGGAAGGAGATTCCACCACCTCCCTAGGCAACGCATTCCAGTGTTTCACCACCCTCATAGTGAAAAAGTTTTTCCTAATATCCAACATAAACCTCCCCCACTGCAACTTGAGACCATTACTCCTTGTCCTGTCATCAGCTACCACTGAGAACAGCCTAGAGCCATCCTCTTTGGAACCACCTCTCAGGTAGTTGAAAGTAGCTATCAAATCCCCCCTCATTCTTCTCTTGTGCAGACTAAACAATCCCAGTTCCCTCAGCCTCTCCTCATAAGTCATGTGTTCCAGACCCCTAATCATTTTTGTTGCCCTTCGCTGGACTCTCTCCAATTTATCCACATCCTTTTTGTAGTGTGGGGACCAAAACTGGACACAGTACTCCAAATGAGGCCTCACCAATGTCGAATAGAGGGGGACGATCACATCCCTCGATCTGCTGGCTATGCCCCAACTTATACATCCCAAAATGCCATTGGCCTTCTTGGCAACAAGGGCACACTGTTGACTCATATCCAGCTTCTCGTCCACTGTCACCCCTAGGTCCTTTTCCGCAGAACTGCTGCCTAGCCATTCGGTCCCTAGTCTGGAGCAGTGCCTTGGGTTCTTCCGTCCTAAGTGCAGGACCCTGCACTTATCCTTATTGAACCTCATCAGATTTTGTTTGGCCCAATCCTCCAATTTGTCTAGGTCCCTCTGTATCCTATCCCTGCCCTCCAGCGTATCTACCTCTACTCCCAGTTTAGTATCATCCGCAAATTTGCTGAGAGTGCAATCCACACCATCCTCCAAATCATTTATGAAGATATTGAACAAAACCGGCCCCACGACCGACCCCTGGGGCACTCCACTTGACACCGGCTGCCAACTAGACATGGAGCCATTGATTACTACCCGTGGAGCCCGACAATCTAGCCAACTTTCTACCCACCTTATAGTGCATTCATCCAGCTCATACTACTTTAACTTGCTGACAAGAATATTGTGGGAGACCATGTCAAAAGCTTTGAGTACATTAGCTTTTTCCACATCCTCTGTCACTAGGTTGCCTCCCTCATTCAGTAAGGGGCCCACACTTTCCTTGGCTTTCTTCTTGTTGCCAACATACCTGAAGAAACCCTTCTTGTTACTCTTGACATCTCTTGCTAGCTGCAGCTCCAGGTGCGATTTGGCCCTCCTGATATCATTCCTACATGCCAGAGCGATATTTTTATACTCTTCCCTGGTCATATGTCCAACCTTCCACTTCTTGTAAGCTTTTTTTTATGTTTAAGATCCGCTAGGATTTCACCGTTAAGCCAAGCTGGTCGCCTGCCATATTTACTGTTCTTTCGACACATCGGGATGGTTTGTCCCTGTAACCTCAACAGGGATTCCTTGAAATACAGCCAGCTCTCCTAGACTCCTTTCCCCTTTATGTTCGTTCCCCAGGGGATCCTACCCATCAGTTCCCTGAGGGAGTTGAAGTCTGCTTTCCTGAAGTCCAGGGTCCGTATCGTGCTGCTTACCTTTCTTCCCTGTGTCAGGATCCTGAACTCAACCAACTCATGGTCACTGCCTCCCAGATTCCCATCCACTTTTGCTTCCCCCACTAATTCTACCCGGTTTGTGAGCAGCAGGTCAAGAAAAGCTCCCCCTCTAGTTGGCTCCTCTAGCACTTGCACCAGGAAATTGTCCCCTACGCTTTCCAAAAACTTCCTGGACTGTCTATGCACCGCTGTATTGCTCTCCCAGCAGATATCAGGAAAATTAAAGTCACCCATGAGAACCAGGGCGTGCGATCCAGTAGCTTCCACGAGCTGCCGGAAGAAAGCCTCATCCACCTCATCCCCCTGGTCCGGTGGTCTATAGCAGACTCCCACCACTACATCATTCTACATCACCCATGTTGCTGAAGAGGACTGCCATGCCACATTCTGTATTTGTTCTGCATGCTGCTGCACTGCTTTAGTCTTCTTAGACTGCAAACTCTTCAGAGCTGGAAACTCTTACAATGGTTTCCGGTTAGTTGAGGCAGACAGCTAGAGAACTTTTAAAAACAGCATTTCCACACACTTCTCAGCACGAAGAGTAACAAAAGAGAGGCCACTGGTCTTTGCTAACATCAAGACAGCAGCTACGAAAAGGTAGCTTGCAAATGAGCACGTTACCTTTGATGTGGCAGGCGACCAGCTTGGCTTAACAGTGGAATCCTTGCTGCTCTTAAACACAAAAAAGGAGCTTACAAGAAGTGGAAGATTGGACAAATGACCAGGGAAGAGTATAAAAATATTGCTCAGGCATGCAGGAGTGAAATCCAGAAGGCCAAATCACACATGGAGGTGCAGCTAGCAAGAGATGTTAAGAGTAACAAGAAGGGTTTCTTCAGGTACGTTAGAAACAAGAAGAAAGTCAAGGAAAGTGTGGGCCCCTTACTGAATGAGGGAAGCAACCGTCTGACAGAGGACGTGGAAAAAGCTAATGTACTCAATGCTTTTTTTGCCTTTGTCTTCGCGAACAAGGTCAGCTCTCAGACTGCTGCACTGGGCAGCACAGCACGGGGAGGAGACGACCAGCCCTCTGTGGAGAAAGAAGTAGTTCGGGACTATTTAGAAAAGCTGGACGAGCATAAGTCCATGGGGCTGGATGCGCTGCATCCGAGAGTGCTAAAGGAATTGGCGGATATGGTTGCAGAGCCATTGGCCCTTATCTTTGAAAACTCATGGCAACTGGGGGAGGTCCCGGACAACTGGAAAAAGGCTAATGTAGTGCCCATCTTTAAAAAAGGGAAGGAGGATGATCCTGGGAACTACAGGCCAGTCAGCCTCGCCTCAGTCCCTGGAAAAATCATGAAGCAGGTCCGCAAGGAATCAATTCTGAAGCACTTAGAGGAGAGGAAAGTGATCAGGAACAGTCAACATGGATTCACCAAGGGCAAGTCATGCCTGATTAATCTAATTGCCTTCTATGATGAGATAACTGGCTCTGTGGATGAGGGGAAAGCAGTGGACCTGTTGTTCCTTGACTTTAGCAAAGCTTTTGACACGGTCTCCCACAGTATTCTTGCCAGTAAGTTAAAGTAGTATGGGCTGGATGAATGGACTATAAGGTGGATAGAAAGTTGGCTAGATTGTCGGGCTCAACAGGTAGTGATCAATGGCTCCATGTCTAGTTGGCAGCCGATATCCAGTGGAGTGCCCCAAGGGTCGGTCCTGGGGCCGGTTTTGTTCAATATCTTCATAAATGATCTGGAGGATGGTGTGGATTGCACTCTCAGCAAATTTGCGGATGACACTAAACTGGGAGGAGAGGTAGATATGCTGGAGGGTAGGGACAGGATACAGAGGGACCTAGACAAATTGGAGGATTGGGCCAAACGAAATCTGATGAGGTTCAACAAGGACAACTGCAGAGTCCTGCACTTAGGATGGAAGAATCTCATGCACCTCTACAGACTAGGGATCGAATGGCTAGGCAGCAGTTCGGCAGAAAAGGACTTAGGGGTTACAGTGGATGAGAAGCTGGATATGAGTCAACAGTGTGCCATTGTTGCCAAGAAGGCCAATGGCATTTTGGGATGTATAAGTAGGGGCATTGCCAGCAGATCGAGGGACGTGATTGTTCCCCTCTATTCGACATCAGTGAGGCCTCATCTGGAGTACTGTGTCCTGTTTTGGGCCCCACACTACAAAAAGGATGTGGAAAAATTGGGAAGAGTCCAGCGGAGGGCAACAGAAGTGATTAGGGGCCTGGAACACATGACTTATGAGGAGAGGCTGAGGGAACTGGGTTTGTTTAGTCTGCACAAGAGAAGAATGAGGGGGGATTTGATAGCTGCTTTCAACTACCTGAAAGGGAGTTCCAGAGAGGATGGCTCTAGACTGTTCTCAGTGGTAGCAGATGACAGAACGAGGAGCAATGGTCTCAAGTTGCAGTGGGGGAGGTTTAGGTTGGATATTAGGAAAAACTATTTCACTAGGAGGGTGGTGAAGCACTGGAATGCGTTACTTAGGGAGGTGGTGGAATCTCCTTCCTTAGAAGTTTTTAAGGTCAGGCTTGACAAAGGCCTGGCTGGGATGATTTAGTTGGGGATTGCTCCTGCTTTGAGCAGGGGATTGGACTAGATGACCTCCTGAGGTCCCTTCCAACCCTGATATTCTATGATGATTCTATGCTTCTGTGTGTGCACTGTCCAAGAACGGCTGGAGGTTGTTCACCTGTTCCAGAAGGGCGGCTTGGGAAAGAATAAACTGCTCCTCCGGTTTAAAAGACAGAGAAGGAGAAGTTTAAGTCAAACACTATTTCAGCTTTCCACAGATGAGAAAAAATAAGTTGATTAATTGGCCTGGTTCAGCTTCCCCTTCTCATAAGGCAATCAAACCTACACGCAGCAGAAAGACTTCACCACAACGATACTGTGGGTTACTATCACACCTTCCAACCAATCAAGGATCTCTGTGCCTTTCGCAAACATCCCCCACCCTTTTCTGGGGTAGCTATTATCAGATGGGGAAACAGAAGCTCAAAGGCAGCACACAGTACATAAAAGGGAAGAACCAGGAGCAGAAGCCAGGATGTTCCTCACTGAGCTAGCAATGGAAAAAGCACATTTTTTTGCTCTTTCATTGGCTCAGTTGTTGAGCCCCATTAAAAGTCAACCTCGTGGCTCCGACTCTCCCTTGCTTACACCAATAAGAATCGGGGACAATGCCACTGGAGACAATGGAGTTACACACGCCTACCACAGGAGAGGGGCGACTCAGGTCCCCTGTGAGAGAGCAGGGCAGGGTTAGAAGTTCAATACTTATGAACACTGAAGTATATATATTGTGATGTTTAAGAGCAGTTTTGTTACCATAACAGTTGCTAGACATAGGGAAACAATTCCACACACCCCTTCTCCACCCCCCTTCCCCCCTGCAAAGCTTCTGACCAAAGGCTAGACAGACTCAGAGAGAGTCAAGGTCCATTACTCATTCAGGGAAGGCCTTTGGTAGCAAGAAAAGCATTCCTCATGCAGGAACTAGCTCCACGGTGCCAGTTGCATTCCAAGTGCATGCCAGGGAGCCAGACTGGGGACTGAACCAGGCTTGTTCTTCCCTGTACAATTCATACTGTAGTTTCTCCAGTTCTGATCTTTTACTGAAGCATTGGCCAGTTTACAGGGGAAGATGAGAAGCCAAATGAGGCATTTCCATCCTAAGCCCATGATTAAAAGAGAGATGGACAGGTGCATTCAGTTAAGATCTCCCTCACCCTGCTTGTCTTGAGAGCTTTTGGGGAATGAGCATACTCCTTTCATTTCATGACATGCCTGCTAAGATGAACTGCAGTTTCATGGCATCGGGAACAGCCATTCGATCAATGTACCGAGGATCCAGGTATTTTATTAAATCTTCAACTAAGATCAGAAGTAGGTTACAGGGAGGGAGAGAGAGAAGTGATTAGTTCTGGAAGTACTGCCAGTTGCAACTTCCTACTTACTACAAAATTTTGCTAAAAAGAATCAGCAGCTATAGTATTTCTATAGTACCATGAACTTTCACAGCATTTTATAGACCACTTGAATGACATACTCTGCCTCAAAGAGCTTACAAATCTGAGCTGACTAACTAGTTTAGACAACAATCCAGATGTAGGAAGATGCAGAGGCATCCTCAGTGGGGGATCGGAGAGGAATGGCTTTTGACTCAACAGTACAAAGTCGCTGCTGCACCAAGCCTGTAAGTTTCCTTGTTTGATTTTATTTTAAAGAAGTGTGTACTCACATGGCCCAACGCCAATAGGCACCCATTATTTACACAAGGTCCCACTAACCTTCTAAGTATTACATTAGCCAATTTTAAATTCAACTGCAGAGGTCACAATTCATTCTTTAAAGGGAAGGCACAGAGCGAGTCCTCCCTTTCCATCATGTGGCCTGCTACTTCCCCTGCCCTCTGAAATGTCTTTCCTTTACACACGCAAGTCTTGCTTTCTGAAGCTGGCCGAGGGTGTGCTGAAGTGGCACCAGTGTCCTCTCCAGGCACAGCATGCCGTTTCTGCGACATCTCTCCTCTGATACAAAAATCCCAAGGTTGCTTGCAATCGGAGTTGTCCTTGATAGACACAGCAGGGAGTAATAAGCTCCAATGCCAGTGAGAAGTCAAAGCCCATGATTTTCTGCAGGTGCACATACACTGAATATGTACTACCCCTTGCTGATAACACCAGGCCTGATGGGCTGCAGATTTCTAGGGGGATCTGATCACAGTGGGTAGAATGCACAGTCCTAGGGAAGGAATAAAGCTGAAACCTTAGATTTTAGATCTCTGATAATGGAACAGAAACCAAAGTAGATGCCTTACTCTCACAAGGTACACCCCACTCAAGAGAGCTGCCAGCTTGTCTACTCAGTCATAATTAGATCCTTTGGAGGCAAAGGAAGGTTGTTTTTAAACCCACTGCAAAACACACCTCAAATGATCTCAGACAGGCCACCCAACAAGACCACCACATAAAATACAATTTGGATCTAAATCCTGGGGGTAAAAAAACCGCAACACACAAATGCTGGATGAATACTTACTTTTCTTATACAAAATTTTAATCCTCTCTCTTTTGCTTGTAATGTTCCCCAAAGCCACCTGAACTTTCACCAAACCATCTGCTGCCTAGAAGGTAAGAGATGGTATAAACCAAACAGGGATTAAGTGACACTTCCTGGATCCCAATAAGACTAAACTGTCAGGAACAGACCAGCAGTGACAGGAGATAAAATGTCTATTTAAAACGGATGAATGCATCCGATAAAGTGAGCTGTAGCTCACAAAAGCTTATGCTCAAATAAATTGGTTAGTCTCGAAGGTGCCACAAGTCCTCCTGTTCTTTCTGCGAACACAGACTAACACGGCTGCTGCTCTGAAACCTATTTAAAACGGTTTCAGCTACTAACATTCACAGGCAGCATAGTTCAAGGAGCTGCCCGAATGGTCACGTGACGTTACGAGGGGCTGCTAAACAGAGCCCGTGTTGTGCCCCAGAGGGGGCGGCAATTCAGAAGTAAACGAAGCAGCCCCGAGCCAGGCAGCCCGTCGGGGCACTGGGACAAAAGGCCCCGCACTAGTCCTCCTGCCCCCCGTGCAGGGCCTGCCCCCCCGGCCCGGGAGCGCTCTGCCCGCCGGGGAGCATCGCTGGGGGCAGGAGTGGAGCGAGCAAGGCCCTGGAGGAGAACCCGCAGCCGGGGGGGGGGGTTATGGCCGCGCTGCTGAAGGAACCAACAGCCAAAGCTTGGCGCCCCCCCCAGGCCAATCCCCGCCCCCCACGAGCCTCCCCCCGGCCAATCCCTCCCCGCCCCCCCAATCCCCCCCCCAAGAGCGCGCCCCCCCCCGGGCCCCCGGGCCCAAGTCCCCGCCCCCCACGAGCCCCCCCGGCGCTGCTGCCGGGCAATGCGGAGGCTGGAGCCACCCGCCCCTGGAGCGGCGCAAGGCCCCGAGCCGCAGGCTCCGCGCGGGCCCAGCCCAGGGGCCCTGGATGGTCCCCTGGTGGGGGGAGCCGGCCCCGCAGCGGGGGTCACACACAGGCCGGGGGGCGGGTGCTGAGGGGTCCGCCCAGTCCCGGGCCGCCCCGGCCCCGAACACCCGCCGCTCCAGCGCCTCCACCCGGTCCTGCAGCGCCCCGCCCGCCGCCATCTTGTCCACACCCGGCCGGCCGGAAGCGGGGGCGGGACTCCCCCGTGACAGGAGCCAATCGAACGCGGCCTCTCCAGAATTGACGGGCGAAGGCAGGGGCGGTTAAATCCGATGATCTGGTCCAGCATGCCCTGCTCCCCCAGCTCCGTGTGTTGCCATGGAGATGATCAGTCCCAGCATGCCCTGCTCCCCCAGCTCCAAGCGTTGCCATGGAGATGATCAGTCCCAGCATGCCCTGCTCCCCCAGCTCCAAGCGTTGCCATGGAGATGATCAGTCCCAGCATGCCCTGCTCCCCCAGCTCCAAGCGTTGCCATGGAGATGATCAGTCCCAGCATGCCCTGCTCCCCCAGCTCCAAGCGTTGCCATGGAGATGATCAGTCCCAGCATGCCCTGCTCCCCCAGCTCCAAGTGTTGCCATGGAGATGATCAGTCCCAGCATGCCCTGCTCCCCAGCTCCGTGTGTTGCCATGGAGATGATCAGTCCCAGCATGCCCTGCTCCCCCAGCTCCAAGTGTTGCCATGGAGATGATCAGTCCCAGCATGCCCTGCTCCCCAGCTCCGTGTGTTGCCATGGAGATGATCAGACCCAGCATGCCCTGCTCCCCCAGCTCCAAGCGTTGCCATGGAGATGATCAGTCCCAGCATGCCCTGCTCCCCCAGCTCCAAGCGTTGCCATGGAGATGATCAGTCCCAGCATGCCCTGCTCCCCCAGCTCCAAGTGTTGCCATGGAGATGATCAGTCCCAGCATGCCCTGCTCCCCAGCTCCGTGTGTTGCCATGGAGATGATCAGTCCCAGCATGCCCTGCTCCCAGTGTTGCCATGGCGACAGCGTCCCGGGCCTGCCCTGCGCTGTCAGACCGGGCTCCCCTCCGGCGCTGAGCTCCGCGCCCCGGGGCTGCGCTGGGCCCGGGCGGGGCGCGCTCCTGTCAGCCCAGCGCCTGTGGGGCCGAGGGCTCCCCCCGTCCCGGGGCTGAGCTCCTCGGGGCTCCCCGCGAGCGGCCCGGGGGCGCGTCGGCTCTTGGCCCCGCCGCAGGCCCCGGAGCCGGGGAAGGAGGCGTGGAGCCGAACGAGGTCGGAGCCTTCGCGGAGCCAAAGCGAAGCAGACGCGGCGGGGCCAGTAATTGCGGCCGCGCACAGGCGTCGGGATCCGTCACCGGCCGCATGCGGGCCCGGCTGGGGCCAGTGGCTGCGAAAGGCTCCGGGAGCTGGGAGACGCCGTTGCGATAAAGCCCGGGCTGGCGGCGGGGGGATTTCCGCTCTCCCCACCTTGCCTGGGTACAGGTCGCCGCAGGACGGGCTGCAGCAGCAGAAGTTGCTCCTTGGCGCAGCTAGTCCCGGGGCCCTCCAGAGGCGAGGCAGTGCTTGACTGCCTCCTAAGCAGAGCACAGGCTCAGGTCCAAGAGGTGGCTACCGCTGGGCCGCTTGGTCACAGTGACCATAACATAACTGAACGTAACGTCCCTGTGGCGGGGAAAACACCGCAGCGGCCCACCACCGTAGCATTTCATTTGAGAAAGGGGAACGACACAAAAATGAGGTAGTGACTTAAAAAGAAATTAAAAAGGTACAGCGCAAACAGTGAGATCCCTGCAAGCTGCGTGGAAACTTTTTAAAGACACCGTAATAGAGGCTCAACTTAAATGGGTAGCCCAAATTAAAAAAAACAACATAATAAGAGGACCAAAAGAGTGTCACCGTGGCTAAACAAAGTAAAAGAAGCAGTGAGAGGCAAAAAGGCATCCTTTAGAAAGTGGAAGTTAAATCCTAGTGAGGAAAATAGAAAGGAGCATAAACTCTGGCAAGTGAAATGTAAAAATACAACTAGGAAGGCCAAAAAAGAATTTGAAGAACAGCTAGCCAAAGACTCAGAAAGTTATAGCAATTTTTTTTTTTAAGTACATCAGAAGCAGGAAGCCTCCTAAACAACTAGTGGATGATCAAGATGCTAAAGGAGCAATCAAGGATGATAAGGCCATTGTGGAGAAACTAAATAAATTCTCTGCATTGGTCTTCACAGCTGAGGACGTGATGGAGATTCCTAAACCTGAGCCATTCTTCTTAGGTGACAGATTTGAGGAACTATCCCAGATTGAGGTGTCATTAGAGGTGATTTTGAACAAATTGATTAAGCAGTAATAAGTCACCAGGACCAGATGGTATCACCCAAGAGTTCTGAAGGAACTCAAATGTGAAATTGCAGAATTACTAACTATAGTTTATAACCTATCATTTAAATCAGCTTCTGTACCAAATGGATGGAGGACAGCTAATGTGATGCCAATTTTTAAAAAGGGCTCCAGAGGTGATCCCGGAAATTACAGACTGGGTAAACCTGACATCAGAACTGGGCAAACTGGTAGAAACTATAGTAAAGAATAAAATTGTCAGACATATAGATGAACATAATTTGTTGGGGAAGTGTCATGTTTTTTATAAAGGGGAAATCATGCTTCATCAATCTATTAGAATTCTTTGAGGGGGTCAACAAGCATGTGGACAAGGGGGATCCAGTGGATGTAGTGTACTTAGATTTTCAGAAAGCCCGTGACAAGGTCCCTCACCAAAGGCCCTTAAGCAAAGTAAGCTGTCATGGTATAAGAGGAAAGGTCCTCTCATGGATCAGTAACTGGTTAAAAGATAGGAAACAAAGGGTAGGAATACATGGTCAATTTTCAGAATGGAGGGAGGTAAGTAGTGGTGTCCCCCAGGGGTCTGTACTGGGACCAGTCCTATTCAACATATTCATAAATGATCTGGAAAAGGGGTAAACAGTGAGGTGGCAAAATTTGCAGATGATACAAAACTACTCAAGATAGTTAAGTCCCAAGCAGACTGCGAAGAACTACAAAAGGATCTCACAAAACTGGGTGACTGGTCAACAAAATGGCAGATGAAATTCAGTGTTGATAAATGCAAAGTAATGCACACTGGAAAACATAATCCCAACTATACATATAAAATGATGGGGTCTAAATTAGCTGTTACCACTCAAGAAAGATCTTGGAGTCATTGTGGATAGTTCTCTGAAAACATTGACTCAATGTGCAGCGGCAGTAAAAAAAAGTGAACAAAATGTTGGGAATCATTAAGAAAGGGTTAGATAATAAGACAGAAAATATCATAAATCCATGGTATGTCCACATCTTGAATAGTGCGTGCAGATGTGGTTGCCCCATCTCAAAAAAGGTATATTGCAATTGGAAAAGGTTCAGAAAAGGGCAACAAAAATGATTAGGGGTATAGAACGGCTGCCATATGAGGAGAGATTAATAAGACTGGGACTTTTCAGCATGGAAAAGAGATGACAAAGGGGGGATATGATAGAGGGCTATAAAATCATGACTGGTGTGGAGAAAGTAAATAAGGAAGTGTTATTTACTCCTCATATCACAAGAATTAGGGGTCACTAAATGAAATTAATAGGCAGCTGGTTTAAAACAAAAGGAAGTATGTTTTCACACAACACACAGTCAACCTGTGGAACTCCTTGCCAGAGGATGTGAAGGCGAAGACCATAACGGTTCAAAAAAGAACTAGGTACATTCATGGAGGATAGGTCCATCAGTGGCTATTAGCCAGGATGGGCAGGGATGGTGTCCTTAGCCTCTGTTTGCCAGAAGCTGGGAATGGGCAACAGGGGATGGATCACTTGACAATTACCATTCTGTTCATTCCCTCTGGGGCACCTGGCATTGGCCACTGTCAGAAGACAGGATACTGGGCTAGATAGACCTTTGGTCTGACCCAGTATGGCTGTTCTTTTGTTCTTATGTTCTAAAAAGAATCTTCTCCACAGGGTGGTTCGCCCTCGTATAGGGTCCTGGCACTATCCTGAATATTGATATCCGTGCCCAACCTTCCATGCCCAATCTAATTTCCTCACCCAGATAAATCTTAGGATAGAATTTACTTACTCTATAGGATATATTCTTACGTATTGATACTGATTATCTCATTCTCATAACTGCTATCTTTGATCTGAGCTGTTACTTCCATGTTCTTGCACTGTACCCTGTGGTTACCACTATGTTCCAGAATTCTGTTAAACACATTCAGTTCCCCAAAGTTAAAAAGGGGTAGCTGGTAGGCCATTTATCAGTGCCAAAGATTACAAACACTCATGGTAATTTGCTCTTGCTAATTATACAGGATATAGGCCTGTAATTTCCTTGCATTACAGCCAAATAAAATGAAGTAATATTTACTGAAATTATTCAGCACAAAAACATCAGTCAAAACAATATAATCAATCAAACCAATAAAGAAAAAGGGATGATATAATATAGCAGGCTAGCCCCGTGGGCTACAAGGTGCAGGGAGCTGCTGTCTTTGGAGGCCACTTGGCTTCGGGTGCAGGCTGGCATGCTAGAATTCTTCACCCCCATGGTGCGAGACACAGAGCATCGCGTGTTGGGAGCTGTGGTCTCACCGATGTCATGGAGCAAAGCATGCTATCTAACCTGTCAATGAATAAACTGCCCCCAGGTTCCATGACTTCTGCCCTTTGAACTGTCATTTGAGGGCTTCCATCATGAGGAATCATGGCATTGTGATGGCTCTAACCAAAGGAGCAACAGGTTCTGCTTGAACTGCACATGGTCGCTGGTGCACTGGTCGCTGGTGCACTGTCGACCTTTAGGACTTGTCCCCTGGAACAACAAAGTCTTTGGATCAGGATGCTGATGTTGTGTCGTCCCTGGCTAAAGATGCAAATAAAAGCACAGTGAATAGATGGAATTAACAGTCCCGCTGTCAGAGCTAAGCACTGGGAAAGCTCAGCAATGGCCACACAGCATTCTCAGATGAGGCTTGTAATATGCATAGAACATATCAGAGGTTCTCAACCAGGGGTACCTGTACCCCTCGGGGGTGCAGAGGTCTTCCAGTTGGCAAGTTAACTCATCTACATTAGTGTTTCTCAACCTGGGGGTCGTGACCCGTGGGGGTTGCTGGACAGGTTTAGGGGGTTGCAAGTGCAGGGCCAGTGTTCAGGGGTGGCAAGTAGGGCAATTGCCCAGGGCTCCACACCACAGGGGGGCCCGCAAAGCTAGTTACATGCTTCAGCCCCAGACAGGGTGGCTCGGGCCCAACCCCAAGTGGCAGGGCTCAGGCTTCAGCCTCCTTAAAGGGGTACAGGAGTCTGAAAGGTTGAGAACCGCAGCAATAAGTCCAGCTTTTAGGGAACCACCCACCCCGAATATCACTGGAGAGTCCTGACTTTGATAGGGCTGCCTTGATTCACGTCCAGAATTGCTTTGGAGATGAGGTCCTGGCCTCATAGGGGATTGTAAGCACAACAGTATGTCAGGGTAGCGTATTGAGCTGAAGACTGTGTCATGACACAATGCAATGTTATCACAGTGTCATGTAACACAATGCCATGGGACACAATGATTTTGTCCTGAAAACCAGCCTTAAAGGTGGTAACCCCACCTGAACTCACAGTGCAGAATTCAAAAGGAAAGT